TTTAAGTATAAGTTCTTAATGTTCCGAGTTCGGAACAAAGTCAGAATGCTCGAATGTAAATGTTTTTAAATATATTTTCCCGAATGGCAACAACACAGTTTTTTTTAGAACGGTAATGTTTGATGGCAATGTTTCTGAATAAAGCAAATATATAACAATTGATGTTTGAACAGAAATGTTTTTGAATAAAAGAAGTAAATGCTAACACAAATATTGCATCATCTTTTTAAAAGGAGGAAAAGCATCTCCCATTGGAAAAAGTATTAATTTGTTTGAATGAAGCAATACTCTGGACTATTAAAAAAAATGAAAAAGAAATCAAGCTGTTGCTGCTGAAAAAGAGATGAAGAAGTGCAGTATCTTCGACATCCGCAAAATGTGCAGCTCGCCCCTAGGCACCACTAATTGAGAAGATGGAAAAGGCACTCAGCATTTGGATTGATGATAGCTGTCAAAAAAGAATTCCATTGGATGGTACTATCATTAAACAAAAAGCACTTAAAACTTACAAACACCTTAAAGAACATGAAGAATTTTGTGGCAAGTAAAGGTTGGTTTTAAAATTTCAAAAGCCATTTTGCAATTCATAGCATAAGCATTCAAGGAGAATCTGCATCAACTAATCATGAAGCTGACAAGACGTATCCAGAAAACATCCAAAACGTTGTAGAAGAGCAAGCATACACAGCAGATCAAGTTTTCAGTGCCTACGAAACTGGTCTTTGGTGGGGAAAAAATGCCCAGTTGAAAGGTGGGGAAAAAAATGCTGAATTGAAAGGTGGGGAAAAAATGCCCAGTTGAAAGTTTATATCGAAAAAAGACCTGGATTTAAGATGTGTAAAAATCATCTAATGTAACTTTTGTGCAGTAATGCGTTGGTGGAATTTATGACAAAAGCCTTGCTAATTTATAGATGTTTAAAGTATTGTGCACTTAAAAGCATAAATAAAAAAAAAAATCTTACCAGTATATTGGAAAGCAAATTCAAGAACTTGGGTAACTGGAAATTTATTTAAAGATTAGTTTTTAAATTGTTTGTGACAAACATTGAACGTTATTTAAGGCACAAAAATTTGAGCTTCAAAGTGCTATTACTATTAGATAATGCTCCATGTCAGTCACAATATTAAAATCATCCCAACATCAAAATAGTGTTCCTACCACCTAACACTACAACATGCTATACACATAAAGTGGTAAAGGCCTGCAGTATAATTTTTTTACTGTTTGAACACTTTTAAAGATCTGAATGATAAGTTTATATCAGTTAGATGCTTTATTAATTACATATCTCTGTCAAGTTTTACGTATAAAATCATGCTGCACATTATACAAGGTCTGGATATTAATTTCCAGGACTTGTGGAATAACTCAGAAGAAAAAGATGTTAAATACATAACCATTTAATATGATTCAAAGTAATCCCCATCGGTCGTAATGCACGCCTTTGCTCAGCTGTACAAATTTCAGAAGGAAGTTTTAAAGTCCTCTTTTGGAATGCTCTTTAATAGTAACGTTACAGTTTTCTTGATAGCTTCGACATCCTGAAATCTTGTTCCCTTCAGCAAATTTTTCAGCTTAAGAAACGGGAGAAAGTCTGCGGGTCTGGAGAGTATGGTGGATGCTGCTTTTCAACTACACCATGCTGGGCTAAAAAGCGCCTCACAGGCAACGCAATGTGTGGGAGGGCATTGTCATGTAGCAGCAGCCAGCTCCCATTTTGTTGAAAATGAGGCCTCACTCTACGAATTCGTTTTCGAAGTCGGTCAAGAACTTCTGTGTAGAACTTCCATTGATAGTCATGTTAGGAGGAAGAAATTCATGATGAATGAGTCCATCGCAATTGAAGAAAGCGATTAACATGACCTTGATTTTGGACTTTTGAAAACGAAATTTTTTCTGCCTTGGTGAACTTGGAGACCGCCATTTGGAACTTTGACACTTGGTTTCAAGACTCGTCTCCCATGACTATCCTATCCAGAAATGCAGAGTCAGCATCAGCGTTATCAATAAGTTCGCCACATGCGCCAGTCTCAATTGCTTTTGTTCATCCCTTAAATGATGAAGAACGAATGTGGAACAAATCTTGCATTTGCCTAGGTCTTGCCTCAAAATTCACCGAATCATCACTTTGTCCATGTTGAATTCATTGGCGAGTACTCGAATAGTCAATCGGCGATCATATTTCAACGTATCGTGAACTTTTTCAGTTGCTTCCGCCATGTGTACGGACTGCGGCCGACCTGTGTGTGGATCATCTTTGAGGTTTTCGCGCCCGTCCCGAAAGTGTTTAAACCATTCAAAAGTTCTTTATCGGGATAATGCTTCCTCGCCATAAACTTGTTTTAACATTTTGTAGGTTTCCGCAGCTGTCTTGCCCAATTTGAAGAAAAATTTAATGTTAATTATTTGCTCCATTTTCACTTTGACAATAAGAATTTAAGAGCTACGTTTTAATATACCTTTCCACGAGAACCACTTACTTCAGAATGGCGCCGATTGCATTGCACTTGCGCAAGAAAACACTCTTCAATATGCAATCATTAGCGCCATCTTCTGACTTTTCGTTCTTCTACAGTTACGTCAGTCCTGGAATTTAATAACTGGACCTTATATGAAGCATTTTCATTTTTATTCTGGCATTTATAATTCATTTTGTCTTTAATCTTGTTCAATCAAATATTTGTCAGATCATTCCACCTTGTAAATTACACCGTTTATTTCTTGTAAGCATGAGACACACCAGTGACAGGTGGATAAGATCACTGAATACTGGGTGTTTGACCGGAGTTCAATCCTAGGGCTAACAGTTTGGCTGTATGGTTGGTTTTCTGTGTGTATAACATAAATACGTACAGGTTTCTTTTAGAAAGTACTCCACAGCGGCTTTTTCCTTGCACGCAAATAGCCTTCACTTGCTGTATTAAAATTTATAATTTTTGGTGAGAAATTTGTGGGAGAAGTTTAAAAATTTATCTTGTTTTTTTTTTTTTTTTTTTTTTTTTAGCCAAGAATAATTCACTTGAGGAACTTCTTAATTTATAGCAACCTAGTTTCCTTTTCCCCCTTTTTCTTTCATTCTTTCATCGTTCATACTTTCAAATAATTTTAAGAAAGTGTGTAAACCACGTTTTCGTTATTGTCGCTTATAATAAATGCACCAAATTTAAAAATGCGCCAAAATTTAAATTCACATATATCTTAGAAAATTTTGAATAAAAAGCTAATTTTTTGCAAATGTGCTTAGAAATACATCTACCTTAAGATGATGGCAAAAATTTTATAGGTTATAATTCAAATTTATTTTTAAAATAAATCATAAAATGTCTGCAAATTTTATTTCGAATGAACCTAAATTTCGAAGTATGAAAGGATAAATCAAATAAGTTTAATAAAAAAAAAAGAGAGATCAAATTCAATTAACATTGAAGAGCTAAAATTTGGAGAGCTAATTTTTAAAAAACTGCTCTTACGATTTTTACAAAACTTGGCAGTTTGGCATAATTTGAAACATATAATCAAAATATGGGAAAAAATTCGCATGTCATTTCAGAAAAAGTCCAATTTTGTGTCACTTATATTACGACAATGATATATATAAATCTAATGCATATCTGAAGTCGCGCTTTTGAGACATGAAAAACGCATTTTGAATTGTGTCAATCGGTCCAGTAGAACGGGAGATATAGAACTGTCACCCCTTTTTTTTGTGCAGTGTACATTTCAGATATATACATATCTAATTTACTAGATTATACATTGTACATGTTTGCAAACAATTTTGATTTTTAGAGCAGACTTTTTTAAAGTAATTTAAACATTTCTTGTCATAAGAACAAAGAACTGAGACGGGGTGAGTATTTCTTTCATTTTATCACCGTCTCAGTTCTTTGTTCTTCTGAGTAACTTAATGCTAAATTATGAATTGCAAGGGGAAAATTATCATAAATGACAAAATTAATAAATCTGAATTAATTTGTGTTATTGTCTAAGCTGATAAATATTTCATGTAGAGTTTACAACAATTAAGTTTTTTTTAAACAGGTTTTCGTTACATTGAGTAGAATCCTGACTATCCTAGGATGACTGAAAATACAGATAAATGGACATCTGTAATTGTTCTGTAAAAAGGTTGCCATTAAGAAAATTTGCAGTGTTTATTTCACATGGTGTTAGGGGGGAAGAATGTCCTTAAGAAAATATTTTGGAGAAATGCCTCAAAAAATTATCCCTGGAAGATATAAAATGTGTCTGGAAAATGTATGCATGTTATATTATTTTCTGATAATTTTATAAGAAAATATTTAGTATGTGATAAGTGTTACTGAAAGTTAATAAGCTTTACTATGCATTGACATAACTTTTTTTTATCTTTAGCATAAGAAAGTTACCATTAACATTTAATGAACTGTGTTATACAAGATGTACTAAATATGCATTTTGTACAAAATAAAATAGATTTAAAGTTATCAGAATAATTATACAATGAAACAGAAACATGGCTGTATTATGCAGCTTATAAGATATAAATCTGAGCTAGTCTGTTAAAGTAATTTAATCTGTATTTGGAAATACATGTTACATTATGAAGTATTTTCTCCCTTCTTTTCACATGCCTTTGTGGTATAACTGGAAGCATACATATGCATATTAGGGAGGTCAGAGTCCAGGCGAGGGCATTGCACATTTTTTGTATTTCCTGCTTTAAAAAAAAATCTAATGATTCTACAGTTGTGTCCAAATGTGGTGGGCGATAATTTATCACTACCAGGATTTGGCAATTGGGCCCCCTAATGTCCAGTCACTTTAAAAGAACACACTTGAATGGAATGACGTATTGAAAAGTTGAATGTTTTGCCATATATTACAAGTTTTTAAATGAAATAAGTAATTATCATAAATTTATTAAATTATTAAAATCTTTATTAATTTTTTGCTGCTTTGCATTAATGTTTTTTAAATAAATTTCTGATAAATTTTTCTATTGATCATTATTTTAGGATGATTTAAGTGTGATTTTATGGGACGTTGCAACAGGGAGATGTGTGCGAGAACTGCTTTCGCATTCTGATCGTATTACATCTGTAGGTATTTTCTTTTTATTTCTGAAGTTTTATTCATTATGCAAACATTTTACTGAATTCCTTAAAAATAACTTTATAATAATCAGGTGCTAGACTTTATTTGCTGGATGTAAATTACTGTTGATCAGTTCATTTGCACATATTATCAAGTAATTGTTTACTGACATTCAAATTTTTAAAGCTAAACTAAAATATTCAGCAAAAAAAATTAATTCTTGTGACATTTGTTATTTTCGTTTTAGGTTGATTTTTCTTATTGTGGAAAATATATGCTTTCCAGTAGTTATGATGGTTTATGGTAAGATTTTATTCAACACATAATACAGGAGAGTGCATATTGTATCTACCAAATCCAAATGATAACAGAGAATAGGTGAATGCAAAGAGTAATTTAATATAGTTATGAAATATAAGTACATAAATTGTCAATTACTGCAATACAGTCAAAAGTCGTTAATTTGGACACCCAAAATCCAGAATGATCTATAATCCGGACCTCAAAGCTACAAACTTTCTGTGCATGCGTTGCGCAATGAATTGGAAGTTGATCTGTCAGCACTACCCTTATCTTCAGGACAGATGTTTTTATTTTATTTGGCTTATAATTCCTTACTAAATGTAATATTTCATCTCGATGTACTCCGTCTTTGATATGATTTAAATCAAATTCCTCGTCATTATAATCCGCTTCCGATAGTGAAGAAAGTGACACAGAGGTTATTGAAAATGAAAAAATTTCGATTGACAAATTAGTCGGTATTCTCGACACAGCAATTATAGGACTTGAACAGCGGAACTTTGTAACTGAAGAAGAAATTATGTCTGTTTATAGAATTAAAGAGAAAGTATTATCACATAAAACGAAGCAACTTAAACAACCTACATTGAAAGAAATGTTTAATAAAGTGAACAAATAAATATTAAGCTGTTTTTTTTTTTTTTTTTTTTTTTTTTTTTTTAAATTTTGATACCCTTTAGATCATAATTGTTCTTTATTTCATAAATTATGGTTTCATATTTTTAATTTTATAATTTCTGCATGCCATCTTACCAGATTTAAACTGATGATCTATAATCCGGAATCGCCGAAGTCCCGACGAGTCTGGATTAACGACTTTTGACTGTATGTAACACATTCCGACGGACCTCACTACACCTTGAAAACAATTTCCTCCAAATGTCCACCATTGCCAAAAGCAGTGTGGGAAGGTTTCCATAACACACCGTAATATATCCTGTGATTGATGCTTATTTCATGATGAATGCAATCTTAAGTTTGTCAGTATCTGCAAATGATTAACAAAGATCCTTTCTTTCACATAACCCCAGAGTAAGTTATTCAGAGCTGTTATATTTGGGGAATGGAATGGCTACATCACATAGTCAAAGTGGGGTATCACACAATTGGGAAACATTTTTCTTTATAGCCATTCCTTGGCATGGTGTTGCACTATTTTGCTGAAACCAAAAGGTATTCAGCTTGCAATTCTGAAATAAGAAATTCTGTAGTATTTTAGAGTAGCAGTCACCATTCACAGTCACTATACATCTGGTGTCATCCTGAAAAATAGGGACCAATAATCCTTTTCTTATAAATGTATATTTTCCTGAGAACAGGATCAGAACATATAAAGTCTTGATAATCTAATCAACGTATCCAGTCTTGAAAGCATTTGCTTCATCAAACATCAGTAGTTGTTGTTTGGTTAATCATTAAACGGTGGTTTTTGGTTAATCATTTCAAGAATTTCAGTGGGCAATCAATTTCTTTCAATTCTTGAATCCCCTCAGTTTATATCAATGGAACTTCAAATCATCCAGTAAGCGGTCTAGTGAACATTACAACAGTTGTAAATGTTTGTGCATGTCGCCATGCTGATTGCCTAGGACACTTTTTCCCTTGCCTTGTGACTGCCACCTCAGAACACTGCTCTTGGCCTTTCACAGTCTCACCTACCTGAGAATACTGTTCCTTTCGGATACAGCCATACGAAGATTATTGCTGTTCTGCTACAGCGAACACTAAACAGTGGATCACTGTGACAGAATCAGTTCAAATGAAGAATTCCTCTGCCATAATCACATCTGTACAAACTATCATTGTGTGGCATAATAAAATTAGGCGATTCCCTCCTGTTTGGCAATGTATTCATGTCCAGCATTCATATGTGCATTTGGTATATACAGTATGTGCCACCCTGTACTAATCAGCAGTTTTGTTTAAAATATTAAAAGGAGAATAGAATAGATTGTAGTTGTCGTTAATAATTGTTATATTTCTTTCTTCTAACATGTAACAAAAGAACATCAGATACTAAAGCATTAAATAATGAGCAATAGAAATCGGTGTAAATTTGCAGTACTATTAAGTCTGTTCAACATTCAAAGTTATAATACTACAATTTATTTATATTATGTCTGTTCCTGCTGTTTATTATTAGTTGCTTTAGCATATAGCAAGGTGTTCAAAAATTTATTTCCTCAATATTCATCATAGACTTTTAAACATATTAATTACATTGTACAGCCAAATACAAGAGTGCTTAAAAGATCAAGTTTTATGAAAATATTCTCATTACGATAAGAAAGGTTCTGTTAAAAATGTATTATTTGAAAACTTCAGATTATGGTCTAACATCTAAAAGAACTTTCCAATAAAGAATAAGAAAAGAGAAGATTCTATATCAGTTGCATAATGTAAGTTGTTAGAAAGATCTTATATTAATCATATCAAAAAATGTGCATAAAAAGATATGTTAAATAAGCAGTTAGATATATTCTAAATTTATTGTACTTTATATCAATTACATCCTCTATGGGAAAAAAAATTTTTTTTTTAATGTTTAAGCTATTAAGAATTGCATATATTGTTTTTAAATCACTAGTTTGTTAATCAGCAATAGATTGATTAAATTTGAAAGGTATGTTAGAAATTTTATGCTTTGGCAAAAAGTAGCACTTTAATATCAGCTATGTGCAGTTAATGCATGGAAGATTTAAAGATCTTATATTTTGTGCAATTAAGCACTTGACCAAAGTTCTGCTTTTAAATTCTTTGTCTTTATTGCCTGACAGTTTCCAAATATGATTTTATTCACAAATATTAACTAGTTCATCAGGACATAATTCTGCATGTTAACTGAAAAAATAACTTCCTTGTAGGCATAAAAAAAGATATATGATCTTCATAAATGAAAGATTCCAATGAGTAAAATATTCATTATGCTGTAATTAATCAAACAAAATGATGCATGTCTCTATGTGAAAATGCATTTAAATATGCTAAATAAACTTTCTCATTGCCAGTATTGAAGGTATCTGGGACTTTTTTCAAAACCGAAACCTTTATTGCAAATGAAAGAGTCGAACATATCACCGTTCAGCATACTCTCTTCCAGATTTGAAATAGTTTTTGTGCAATGTTCTCGAAGCATTTTTATGCTTTTTGATGTGGTTGAGGATCCCCAAAAGGGTCCTTTAATCTTTCTAGATTTAATTTAGTGGTCTAAAATCCATGTACTTTGTAGCTCTTGCATGAAAAATCTAGGCTATAATTTTGCATGTCTTTTGATAGGAGACCCCCGTCATACATATAGATATATTCAGACACAGGGGAATCCCGTATCCCCCTTTTGCATTCATATGCATGCAGTTATCATTTGGAGTTCAATATCATTTTGTATTCGCATATAATGTACATTTCCTCAGGTATGGAGAGGGTTAGGCTATTTTTGTTCTCTTAGTCTGATATGTTGCATTACTTTTAATAGCACATGTTATAAATATAAAAATTTTATATTTCATTTTTTCTCTCAAAGCTTCATATATGACACTGCTGGAAACACTGTGCAAACTTTCTCTTGTGGTAAGTTTTCAAGTAATTGTGTAAATATCTTAGATATATTTGTATGTTTGTTGAAATTATTACTATCAAAGCTACTTTTTTATGAATACTGAGAAATACAATTATGTTTTAGTGTGCATAATTCATGTTACAGGAATAGTATTATACATCTATGTTTTAATGGGCATAATTCAGTTTTTGTGAATGATATTGAAAGTTTTACTCATATTGAATGCTTTACTCAGTATTCTATTTTTGATGCGATCAGACATTCAAATAGCTGTAATATAAAATAGTATGCACAAATTCATCATGAATGTTAAGGAAATACTTAAAATTTTTACTATTAACTTATTATTTACTATTAAAATTTTTACTATTAACTTATTATTATTAGGTATGACATTAAATTACATGCTCTTTACTTTTAAGAAATATCCTATCCAAGCAGTGTAACTTTTATTACATTGCTTGGATAGGATAACGCGTTCTCATTTTCGTCTGAGTTATGTACATTAGGGAAAAGTCAAATTATCTGCACTCTTGTTTTTCCTATTTACTCAAAAGTAAGAATTCAACAAGCACATAATTTTTCAGTATAGTCTTCCTTCTATAAAGCCCCATGCACTTTTATACTGTTGAAAGCAAATCTCTTTCTCATAAGCATTAAACAGTTTTCCAATTATGAAAGTCAAAGTGAAACATTTCTAAGAATTTTGCATCAAAGTCTGAAAGTTTTGGAATTGAAATTGCTGCAGTATTTACTTAAAGTGCAGCTGGTTTATTATTAAAATTTGTATAGTTAAATGTTCTCATATTAAGCATCAAAATGAGTTCTTTTCATGATAAAGTAATTTTAATTTCACTTTGTAAGATAACAGATAATGAAGATTATGTAAAATGGGGAAGGAAAAAAAAAAAAAAATCAGGTTAAAACACCATCATTTTTACCTTTATTTTTAAATGTTCTCTGAGAGAATAGTTTGTATATTCTTGTAATACCCAATAAGAATAGACTGGCGTTCCTCTCCCTCCCAAGTGTACACTGCCGGGGGGGGGGGAAGACAGTTCTACAAGGTAACCAAAAAAAGTTCTTCATGTTTCTGATATGGCATTGGAAAAGTGAACCGCATTATAAAAATAGTTGCCAAACTTGGCAATGAAGTGGTTAAAATGGAAGTCCAGACCAAGAATATAAAAGTGCGTTGCATCGGTACTTCAAACATAGCTGACATGGTGACTGATTGAATTGGACGCTCCAAAGGTGCTTGTTCGGAGTTGTTAGCTGTATGATTTTAAAGTGGGCCTGTCAGCAGCAAAATCAAATAACCAAATTTGCCAGGCCTTTGGGAATGATGCTGTTAACAAATGAGCTGCCAGGCAATGGTTCCAAAAGTTCAGGTCAAGGGATATGTCTCTTAGTGATGCATCACACAGCCCTGAGAGCCGCCATAGAGTGACGGTAGCCAAACATGTGGTGAGCTTCCTGAACACTTCTAGCTATCTGATGAAATGATTAGGTGATATTTAATAAATAAAGGTAACACGCAAAATGTTAAAAAACACCCCCTTTGAGCATAATATAAAATCTTTTTGCATTAAAACATACAAAGTGTCTGTAAAAGTTGCATTTTACATTGTATATAATAAAGACTTTTCAGTTGTGCATGGCATAAAAGATAGCTTTAAATAACATGTGTTTTTTGAAAGGCAAGAAAGATGATGAAGCAGATATTATAAAAGCCAACTGCTGTTTAATTCAGTTTTTAATTGAACACAGCCTTCCAGTCTGTTTCATACCATTCAAAGCAGCTTTTAAATGCAATGTTTTCAGAATCTTGCAATAGCAAAAATAAAACAAATAAATAAAATGGAAAATTTCTTTCAAATGGAACCCGTAAAAAAATGTTTTTTATTATTATTTTAAAAAGAGGAGTGTACACTCATGTGCAAAAAAATTAAGAGAATTTGCAAATTATGTGCGACACCATTTGGCAGTATCTTTTTAAAGTATGTACACTGCACAAAAAAAATGGGAGTTCTATATCTCCCGTTCTGCTGGGCCGATTGACAAAATTCAAATTGCGTTTTTCATGTCACTAAAGTGCGACTTGGGATATATATTAGATTTATATAAAGTATTGTTCTAACATAGGTATTTTGACACAAAATCGGACTTTTTCTGAAATAACGTACCAATGTTTTTCCATTTTTTGATTCTACGAAGAAATTTACGGAAAAATTCAAAAATTTATCTTAGCCCAATTTTTTTAGTTTGTGCCAAGAATAATTCACTTGGTGTACTTCTTAATTTGTGGCAACCAATTTTCCTTTCCCTTCCATTATGCCAGAGCGGAAAAAAGGGCCCCTCGTTCTTACCTTTTTACATAGTGCATAAAAAGGAAAAAAGTTACATTGTTTCTACTTTCAAATAATTTTAGCAAAGTGTCTAAACCACATTTGATGTTTTATCGCTTTCAACAAATATGCTAAATCTCAAAATGGCCAATATGTAAATTCACATATATCTTCGAAAATTTTGAATAAAAAACGAATTTTTTGCAGGTATGCTTAGAAATACGTTTACGTTAAGATGACAGTAAAAGTTTTACAGATTATAATTCGAAAGTTTTTTCAAAAAATTTTTAAAAATTATTCAAAAATACAAATTTTAAAAAATAAATCATAAAAAATGGGTGAATTTTATTTGAAACGAATTTAAATGAAATATGAAAGGAAGAATCAAATAAGTTTTAAAAAAAGAAAGATTAATAAGTATATACCAAACTCGGTTAACATTGAGGAGCTAATTTTTTAAAAACTAAAACTGGAATGTTATTTCAGAGAAAGTGCAATTTTTTTGTCAAAATACCTATATTAGAACAATGCTATATATAAATCCAATACATATCGCTCAAGACATGAAAAACGGAAGCTGAATTTCGTCAATCGGCCCAGTAGAACAGAAGATATAAAACTGTCCTCCCCCCCCGCAGTGTACCTTTATAAATATTGCACATGCATAATGCTTCCTAGCATAACTTGAACACAGATACCATTTTAAATTATGTAGATAATATTCGCATTTTATGTTGTAAAGAGTTTAAAAAGTCTGCCACCTGTGAAAAGAAATCTTTTTATCACTTTCATAGTATAAGAAATGTAAAACAGGCAGTGATTCATTTCAGATCTGTAATCTGTACATTGTGGTCCAAATATGAAAATGGCAAAATTCATAAATGGTTGAAGTTACAAAAATGTAACCATTATGCATGTTTCCTAATATGTTGAAATTTTGTAAATAGGACATGTAGATGTGCACCTCATATTTTGGTTGCAATCGGCCGCACCAAACGTATATAAATTTGACTGATTCAGAGAATCTAATGTAAAAATGTACAGATAATTCTTGTTTATTCATTCTCTTTCCTCCAAAATTTTGGCACTTTACTTTTAAATACTATTGTGTAAATAGTTTTAAATTTCTATAATGGCCAATTTTACTGCTTTTATTAACAAATTCGGGCCTTTTCGTTTTTCATAGTAGCTTGATCGCCCGCTAGCTTGAAGAATTACGACTTTTTAACAAATGACTGTTTTTTCCTTTTACTCTTGCTTTAGTGGCCAAGTTTTTGTAATTTTAGCTGAATTAGCCATTTTCACTTTGAGACAAAATTTTTTTCCTTCCAACTACATGTCAGGCGCCATTTTTGAGATCTTTTCACGTTTTTCCGTGTTTTCCGACCCCCTTCGATAATAGGAGACGAGTTGCAGATAACGGACAATCTCTTCATATTGGCTAATGCCCACAGAACTTTGCTCCCCCCTACATACGTCATATGACTGAAGTACACAGAAGGGAATTACAACCACTTTTCAACTAGTTTGAAGAGGGAGAGCTATGCATCGCCATAGGTCAGTTTTTTGTTTCTTTTTGTTACAACTTTTTCTTGGTCTTAGCAAGACCCACCTAGTTTGTTATCATCTTAATTTTCTTTTATTTTAATTACAGATTTCTAAAATATATAAAATTGTTAATCTTTAAGCTTGCAGGCCCAGCCTGTATGTTTTTTGTATATTTAGGACTAATAGCAGACCGCTATTTATTTTTGTTCTTATTTTGATTTTAGTCTAGATTTAAGATGATTCGTTATAGTTTAACATATTTTAACACCTTAATGTGTCATTTTATGCGGACACGTCGGGAAATTGGAACAGAGAATTGAGACTATTAAAATTTTCCAAGACACTTTGTCCAAATTTAAAAAAAAAATTTGTAGCAAAAAAGTTTCAATTGTCTGTGTCGGCGAAACGCTTGATTCGACGTTCGGGTAGCTTCAAACAAATTAAATTTCCCTTGAAAAGCCAGTTTGGAAGTCGAGTTGGGCTACTTTACCATTTTCTGCTTACTTTTTTTATCTGATTCTGTTTTTTTTTTTTTTTTTTTTTTTTTTTTAATGTTTTACATGTTTAATGGTTTGATTTTCATATGTATTAATTTTTTAAAACGTGTTGAAATTTTTGGAGCAGCAGCTCCTGGTAACTTTTAGGCGAGCTTACTACAATTTTTATATTTTACTTATTTTGCAGCATATTGTGCAAGATGTTTTCTAGACCAAATTGGTTTTTCAAAATTGTAATTACTACCTTGCTTGATAAATTTATTTATATATATATCCACTCTGTTACACGACTCGGTGATCTCAGTTTGTTTACTCTTATATTTTTGTAAACTGTACATTTTTTGCTTTAAAAATGATTGAATTATGTTGTTTTTATCTTCCGGTTAAGGATTTTATGCCTGTAGTAAATCTGTGTGCAATATTTTTAGAATTATCAGCAATTTTAAAGTTGTTTAATTGCCGCTGAGCCTGTTTTTAATGGCGGCCATTGATGTTTACATTTGAAACAGGAGACTAGTGGATTTGTTGCCAATCTAGAGAAACTTAGGTTCGCAACAACAAAGATAACACATTCATTTATTATTGCCAATTAAATCATGCTTAATTCTTTCTGGAATTTTTTCGAGGAAATAGCGTTTAAGATTTACTTCGTAATTTTTAATACAGATATTTTGAGTTTTTATGTATTTTTGCCTTCTCGCGAAGTGAGAACTGATTAATTAAATGAGAAATACTCAATTGTCTGTGAAAAACTGTTTCTTTTTTGTTTTGTTTGCTTAATTTCTTTTATACATCATTCTAGCTTTATTATAGTATTTGAATAGAACATGTGGCAACGATTAGATAATTCTATTCTTTAAATGATATAAATATTGTGCATTATGAATTATAATATGAACGAAATATTTAAGTTAACTGTTATATAATTATTGGATTATATAACAGTTAAGTTAGTTTATGGTATATAGTTATTATATAAGTTAACTGTTACATAATTATTAATACTGTTAAGTGAATTTAGCACCAGAGTGTCACTATTGTAAACAAATACTAGAGTGAATTTTAAAGAATGCATTTATTCTATTGTGGTTTATGCGCTGTTGGCGAAGTAGATTTAATTCAATCCAATAAGTTTAAATGAAATGCAAGAAAAAATGCGTATAATTTAATATTCCGTACAAGAAAGTCATGTGGTTTACACATCAGATTTTTTATTTAACATTTTTAGCAGAGCAGAACTGTTCTATAAGCATTTTCTGCAAACCTTTTGAATGCAAGTGTTAAATTTGCACAATCTGGAGATTGAGGATTCTTTCATGGGTTTTAGTTATCTTCTGCTTTGAAGATTATTTCCATTGCAAAGAAATTATTACAAAAAGCTGTTTTTAGTAAAAATTTGCTGAAGCTTGGTAATCTGTTTCAGCTCAGGTCTGCCTTCCAATAATTTAACAATAATATGTATTCTACTAAAAGAGAAGTCTTATCTTTTTTTGAAAAATACTGATCATATTTATCATTATTATTGACAAATCTGATGTTTTTCCCGTCGTATTATCAATACTTTAGCAGAAAAATTCCTTATTCAATAAATCAGGATGTCAGGTTTCCTGTGCCCTTAAAGAGAGAGTCTTTAATTTATGAATAAATAATTTTAATAGTTTCACTAGAATAAGTAATTTTAAAAGTATCTAAATTTCAGAATTAAGAAAATTGAGCTGTAGCTTGGGTAAAATAAATAGGCAAACTGAGCTTGCTCTTGCACTGTTCTATAAATTTTGAATCATTTTAAATTAATTTTTTTCTAAAATTATCATTAATTACATATTAAATATGCTAATTTTTCTAAAAGATACTAATTATTACTGTATTTAAGAAAAAAAATAATTTAGATTTCTTACAAATAATATTAATCCATTTTCGGATTAGATTCAAAAGATAGAAAATGTTAGTGATTTTGACCTTCTGAATTTTTTTAACAGATAGCATTAAACTATTGTATTTCATTTTCTGGTATTATTTAAATTTGCTACATGGTATAGGAAATGTCTCTATGTTTTGTTTGTAATGCATGTATTATTTATATTCATGTAACTAAAATCTGTTTTTGTCGTGCAGGTGAAGGTTCATCCGTTTCTTTTGCTAAATTTTCACCAAATGGAAGATATATTTTAACAGCTACACTTGACAAGTATGTATTTTATGACACACAGTAGAGAAGAATCATAGAACCCCCCAAAAATTGTGCCTTTTTTGTATTTAAATCAACTTGTTAAAATCTTTAAAAATTTGTCAATAGAATAAATAATTTTAGTGCTAGCTAGTGTAATAATGTTTTGTTATATAAATTTATTTTTTAAAATAATTATTATATTCAAGTAATTATGTCTAACTAACCCTCCAAGTGGAATAGCCATATTTATATATTCAGAAATATTTATGATACTTTTGAGTACACAGACAATCTTAAAATTTGTTCAGATAATTAAGTTAGTACAGTACACAGTTTGAGATTGGGGCTTTGACAATTCTGGATTTGGGAATTTTTTAACATTGTAAAATTAAAAATCTGGAATAGTTGTGTGTGAAATAATGAAGCATTTATGACCTTAACTCTTTCGTATTGAAGTCGTCTGTAACGCCCATTCATTCAGGCAACAGCAAACTGCCCCAACGCCTCGTTTATTTTCCACCTAGTGCTTTCCCCCTCCACGTTAGTGTATGGTTCATTGGTTTCGCGAGTTGTTAAGACATGTCAATCATTCTTTTGAAGCAACTAAAGGAGAAATACGGAAAGCTATTGACGTTCGCAGGTGCAATCCGGCCCTAAGGTGAAACTGCACACAATGGATGAAACCGCAGAAAAACCCCCAAGAGAGAAGCAGTCATTTCACTTAAGTAGGTTATTGTTGATGCTGTAGCTATCTACCAGGCAGGGGGAAAGGAAAACTATTCCAAGACAAATTCGTAAACACGGGCGTTTTCGATGTTTGATGAAAACAGATCTGGTCGTCTCTCGATGCGAAAGAGTTAAAGAAATCAAAATTTACCGGGGGGGGGGGAGCTCTATTACTGTGTCTCAGGAATTCCCACTAAATTATCAATTGAAATTCTTTTATTTTCAACTACCTTTCTGTTATTATAATCACTATCAGTAGTGATATTTTCAGGATTTGGAAGCATACTACAGATTTTGCTGTCTGTTAGTTGATTGATTATTGAAGCATCGTCATTGCAATGGAATATTTCTTTTATATCATCTTAATTTACTACCACTTCCGCACATTTCTTCACAAATTCAATTAATAGGAACGTTTTGCTTTTTGTTTGCGATACCCCAAAACCTTTATGCAACTATCGCCATAAAGCTTAGCAAGCATCTTCTGTGCACTATTATTGGTGATGTGTCAAGAGTTTGCTGGCTGAAAACATGTTGTTTAGCTAAAATTTGTCTTGTTCCCAAAAAAGTTAAGCCTGAATTATATTAGTTTTTTTATTTATTATACTTATAACTATTTCCAGCTCGTGTTTAAGGTTTATCTGAGCCCTGATGAAATAAATTTCTATATATAATTAAGAATATACTTCCTATTTGCCATGCATTTTAATGGAGTTTTGAATTTTAAATAATTTTTTGTTATAAAAATAGTTTATAGAGGGCAAATACACGCACACAGGGTAGCAGTTATGGCCAATAAATCATCACTTGCTACATAGCAAAAAAAAAAAAAAAAAAAAAAAAAAAAAAAAAAAAAAAAAAAAAAAGAAAAGGCTTATTGGACAACAAAATGAATTATTTTTAATTCAAATAGCATTAAATGGCCTTTGAATGTCATTTACAAAATCTATTTTTAGAAATTTCAGTTAAATTTGTCCTTGTCAACATAATTAACACTTTGCAGTGCAGTTGGCTGAAGTTTGTTATCTCAGTATAAAAGGTTACTATATTGTTTGGTGTTCAATTACCGGTATTTAATAACTATTTCAGTTAATGATATTTAAATAGAAAATTGTTTTAGAAATGTCTGCGTAAGTCATTTCTCAAGCTGCCATGACTGATAGTCGTGGTGATGAAGGTAAAAGAGAATAAAAAATTATTCACTGTGTTGACATAAGTATTATATTATAATCAGTAGACCTAAACCCAGCAGTAAACTTTGATAGAATGTTTTGGTTTGAGATGCGTGCCAAGCAGTAAGGTGGCTGTGGAGCCAAATTATGAATATAAAGATACATGCTAATAAATGATTGTCTTTTTTGGACATGGAGGTGTTTTACTTAAGCCAAAGTGAAATTCAAAATCAAAACCCTCCACATGTTTTGTTATTAAAAAATGTATACTGTGCATGCATGAAACATTAATCACATGCTACCCATGAATCTTTCTCCATAAGTTTTTCATATTGGACACCTACATTTTGGTTGCAATGGAAAAAAAGTTTTTCATTTTGGAATTATTGGTTACCATTTGCCCACCTTTTTGTAAGTTTTACATTTTGGTTGCATAATATTTTGGAGAAAAAGAATTGTATCTTTTAAATGAGTCCCAAGTGCAATAAAAAAGCATCTCCTGGAGAGTCTTTTTTTTTTTTTTTGTTTTTTTTTTTTTTTTTTTTTTTTTTTTTTGTTTTTTGTTTTTTTTTTTTTTTTGTTTTTTTTTTTTTTTTTTAATTTTGGAATTATAATCAAGAATGTTTTTTATATATATCTTTTTTTTTTTTTTTTTTTTTTTTTTTTCTTTTTTTTTTTTTTTTTTTTTTTTTTTTTTTTTTTTTTTTTTTGGCTTTTTTTTTTTTTTTTTTTTTTTTTTTTTTTTTTTTTTTTTTTTTTTTTTTTTTTTTTTTTTTCCCATACCATTTGCCCATGACCTTGTTAGAGTCATTTTTATAATAAGAAGGTTAGGAAGTTAAGGTTTTGAGGTCAAAGCCTTGGCTGGTTGGAGGGCTAAAATATTAAAGAGATATTTAGAGTTTTTTAATAATTAAAATTAAAAATAATTTTTTAAAGAATTAAGGTAAAAAAAAAAATCTTTTGTTTGCTTGTATGTGTGTGTTGTATAATATGTAAAATATGTGAGCTTGTGTGGAATGATGATAACGTTAGTGGAATTGTATACTTTTAATGACAGAATGCGTGAACATAATTAACACACAGGAAATATAGAAATATGAAAAGAAATAAGATGAAGTTAGTTGGTAGCATCATGGAAAATAAATAGCATTGTAACAGGAATTCACATCATTAAAAAAAAGGGGGGGTTGCAGTCTTTGGTTCTTCAAAACTGCGTCGTCACTTTGCATCACATCCTCCTGCTTCTGCTTCTCTTGTTCTTCCATCTATCGTTTTCAGAAGAAGTCACGTAACCTCGCTTGTGGCTCTGTTGCCACTCCGAGATGTGAAAAGAAGGTTCTAACCTACATATATATGTATCTATAAAAACAAACAATTAAATTCTAAAAGGAGTTTCTTTTATGTTTATAATTTGTATTTTTTCCCTTTCTCATTTTTATTTTTTGAGTTTGTTCTACTATGAATTCTTATTTTAATTTTGATTTGTTTTGATATTGTGTTAAACCTCTTATACAAGGTTGCAATTATTAATATTGTTGAGGAATTGCCTTGCTTTGATTCCAATTTAATATTGACTTTAGATGCTTTACGTTTGTATGTATTTATATATATATATACACACACACATATATATTTAAAGTAACAACATATATAACAAAACACAGTGGACAAAAGAACATAATATTAATCTTCCTTGTTTACCTCTTCAAACAGAACTCATCAAGGGGAGAGTGTTTGAAACTTTAAACTTGGACCATTTGAGACTAATAACCCCCTTTTCTTTTCTTTTTTCTTTTTCTTTCTCCCCCCCCATAAATTTCTGTAATAATAAATAATATTATGAGGAGTCCCAAATGAGTTCAGAGCTTCTCTTACATGCATTCATTCTCTCTTGTAATTTGTTTCTCAGATTGCTGTGTAGCAAATCCAATTTTAATTATTATTAGATAGATTTTTTGCTTATAGCAAAGCATATTAGGATTATTTGCTAGCCATTAGACAACTTTGGTTGACTCACTGCAGCCCCAAAACCTTTCTTTCATCATCAGCATATAGTGACTTGGCTGTGAGTAAATTAGTGCTAGCTACTTTTGTTCACTCTTTTAATATAGCTGTGAATATCACCAGGCTAGTGCAATGACCACTTGTGAAGCTTTTTCATCGGATAGTGGACCACTGAAGAGTATTGATCATGAAATATACTTAAACAAACACATTTAGTAAACTGATGCTTGTGGCTTTTCTTATAAAAACATTTTGCAGCTTTTTTCCTCTCATTAACTAATAAATAGTATGAAATAGGCTATTCCTGAATATTTTTTTAATGTAAATCGATGATTTTTATTATGTTAAATTAACATCTTCTTAGTTTGGTTTTTAATTTTTGTTTGAAACATAAATTATTAATTGATTAAACTTTTACATTAACCATTTGTTATATTTCTGTAAGGCAGAGTGTGTGTCATAATTTTATGTAATGATTATATAAAAATATGGTTCTGAATCTGTTTGCACCATGTAATGACTATTAAGTAATCCAATTTTGAGCCAGAATTATAATCTTATTTAATACTAGACATACATATATTTTTACTTTTCTCCAATTCACTGGTTTAACAAGAGAGGATCTAGTCCATCATAACTTCATGGATATATTGGATATAATTCTAAAAAATATATTTTACTGTATCTATTCATAAATATAGTGGATATAATTATCAAAAATATTTTTTATTGTACAGTTGAAAATTAATATTTTTATTAATAATTTTGTTTTCTCTCAATTTTAATGTACAGTTAAATTAAATGTTTAGTAATTAAAATTCTGTTATGTGATTAAAGGCTAATAGTTAAAATCTTAAAAGTAGAAATGTTATTAACATTGGCTACAAATTAAATTTTGTAGTTTTAAAGCTCAAAATTTGTATTGATAAAAAAATAAAGCTATTTTGTTACCTCATATTTAATAAATGAGTGGAAGAAGTTTTTAAGCTAAAGATTTTTGCTTGCATATTCAAAGCTGAATTAATAGCTGAATAAACACTGTTTCTATTACGTATAATTCAGTAAAGAAATTTTACATGTTTTTAGTACATAACCATGAAGAACATAAATTTACATGTGCGGCATAAAATACAGAGATGAGAAAATCATGTGTGTAGTCCCCGCAAGTCGCTGTTTTCAAGCTTTTACGACATGCCACCCAACACAGTCTGGTATCGCAGATGCAATAATTCATTCCAGTTAACAATACAAAAGACATAACTTCACAGCCAGTATCGAGATTTTAGCGTTTTGCACTGTGTCTGTTGTCAAAGCCTCTTGATTTCAAGAGGGCTGATGAACCAACGATCTTTTGTTTCCTCTGATATCCTTCCAGATATATCGAATTGGAGGCTGTAAAACACAACTGAAAAAATAAGGAGGCATGGCTAATTCAGTCTGCCAATTATTTCCGTTGGAGCAACACGCCGTAATGCTTTTGAACTCTTGACTATAGAGACCCTCGTTTTAGTAGGTTCCTCAGGTCACAAAGGCTATATTTCTCTACCATAATTCTTCTCTGCTAGCGGTTTATAAATATATATGTTACCATGAAAGACCGAAATTGGAGAATGTCGACTTTCACCGGAGAATGTCAACATTCACCAAATATGTCGGTGAAAGATCGAATATTGCATTACATTCGGATCCTCACCGGTGTATGTCGACAATCACAGATATGCTCTAGTGTAGGTCGAAAAGAGAGGAGTATATGTACACGCTTGTCATTGTAAAAGGAAGTGTTCCACAAATAAATGCAGTTATAAAAGCAAGGGCCTCTTGTGCAATTCAAAGTGTCATAATAATTTAAGTTGTTTCAATAAATAAGATTTGAATAACATCATTTAGTAAGTTTTTAAATTCTATTATTTTCCTTTCTCATTTTAAATGTACTGTGTGTTTAAAGTTCTAATGTTCTTAAGTTCTTATTTTAAGGCTCAAGTGCGTTTTTTCGCGTGTGGATTATGGAGAAGAAAATAAAACATTCTTATATGCAAGCGACTATGTGAATGTTGGCACTCACCGGTGAAAGTCAACATTCTCCAGATTTCGGTGTTTCACCGTAACATATATATATTATATATATATGTGTGTGTGTGTGTGTAAAGAGCTTCTCATAATTGTAATAAATATATTTTTGAGTTCAGAAATTCATTTGAGTTCAGAAAGTCAGTAAGTATTATGCAATCTCGCATATATACTAATCATTATATGGAGTCGGGAGCGCTACCTGCTGCTGGTACCCTCACATGTATTTTTTCGGTCTGTACAAAAAGTTTGAACTATTTTAATCATATCTTTAGTAGATGTTGCTAATAATTTGTTAGAAATATAAGGATATATATGCAACATTGCCCGAATGTATAGTACTTTTTTCTATAACTGGTGAATAATTCTTTCTCAATTATAATTTGGGCTACTGTTTGCACTGATATATTAATATTCAAGAATTGTTTTTGTAGCTTGTGAAATAAAACATGTTATAAATCACTATTGAAACCTTTTGGAATCAAATATAAAATTTATTATATTTTATTGATGATTGTCATTTATTTACATCATTGTTTAGAATTAGTAGCAGTTTATTAAGATGAAAATTGTATTGATTTGCTATATGACTAAAGCTCTGCTTAGGAAAGAGCAGTAACCTTTGTCCCCCCAAATGTCTTTTCAGAATGTAATTTCTATATTTGCATATACTAATATTGCTTATGTCAAAATCTTATGACTTATACAGCTTTGTAATAACTATAAGTAGCACTAATGTTCTTAATGTTATATAAGAATTTTTTCCAACACTTTTTTTTTTTTTTTTTAAATTTTATTTTCAGTACTCTGAAGCTCTGGGATATAAGCAAAGAAAAGGTATGGAACATTATATTGCTTTAATAAAATGTAATAATTTCAAATGCAGCTTTCAACTGAAAAAGATTGAACTCTGTAGAAAAGCAAATAGTAGAATGCTTATATACAAATTAGATAACTAGAAATATTTGGAAGAAGTTTGAAAAGAAATATAACTCCGATTAATAATGGTTTGGAGACATAGTCAAAAATGTTAAAGCACCTTTGGTTTTTGTTGGTTAAGGAGGTAAACTCAGATGGATGCTCCAATAAGAATTTGCATCAGCATAGATAAAAATACTCAAAAATGATTACCTTGCTTTTTAGACTTTCTCTTGGTAAAATTAGGAAACTGCCTGTATTTTGTAATGTTTCGTGGTCTTCTGATAAATCTTCAAGTGTATAGAGTTAAATTTATCTGATCAAGAAAAGTACCAAAAGAGTTTCACTGATTTTATAGCAAACCTTAATTGATTAAATTCCAGTGATAAGACTAAAATAATGCAATCAAAGGACCCTCAAATTCATATGGCATTACAAGCTTCAAATTCAGTGGTCATATAATAGCAGAAATTGGCTATGCAAGTTAGTGCTAAGTATACAAATTAAGGCTCTGCTAAAATACACACATGTACAAATTTATTTTTATATACCCAAAAATATGATGATATTCCATGAAATAGCCAAACAGTATAATTATTTACGGTGAATCAAGCTCTTTGCAAAGTGAATTTCTACAATACAGCATTTGATTTCAGTGTATAAGGACTTAAAATGGTTTGTTATGGCCCCAGAGTATCCTTTGGCAGAATCAGTCAAGGGACGAAACATCAGCTGTTTAGAAGCGGGACAGACACTCGTGAAAACACTAGATAAATTAATATTTCAAAATAGACAGACTGTACACCATGGAAACAATTTCAGAATTCTGGAAGCCTGGACACAGCTATAGAAGGATGGCAACTCCTTCTGAAGATTGATATTTAGAACTAACTGCTTGTCATAACAGGAAGTTTACTGCTGGGCCGTTCAAAGATTGCAGCTATCACTACAAATGAGAAACTGTATACAGATGGCATAATGAAAAGGCTTTTATGCCAGAAAGCCAAGGTTATGTGTTTTACTGTCTTCTCAACAAAAAAGGATGCTTTAATTTGTGCCAAAAACATAAGAACTGATTTGAACACCATTGGTCTCATTTTCTCTTACTGGTGAGTCAAGTCTTAGTTTAACATCTGATTCTAAGGGGTTTTGCATCTGGAAGGAGTCAGAAATGTGAAATGTTCCTTCGAACATTATGAAATGTGACTGTTTCAGTAATGCAGGTGTTATAGTACTGGGAGGAATAATGATCGATGGACATATGCTCATACGTGTTTCAGCTGCGGATCTGTGACTAGTCAGATACCAGGATGAGGCCTTGAAACCTTGTGTAAGAGATTTCAAAGGTGCACATAGATCTAACTTATAATAATGCCCGTCCACAATCAGCAAACCTCGCTGATGAATTCTTAGTGAAGACACTGAGCAAATACTATACCCAGCAAAAGCTCTTACGTGTTAGAGAGCTTATAGGACTGCCTTGAAAAGCCGTTGCACAGAGACATCTTTTTTTTAGAGATATAAATTCCCCGAATACTGCACTGCTGGAAAATTAGAATTTAAATTTCCTAAATTGTAGTGAACAATGTTATGTTGCCAAAGTTGTTAACAATGTTAATGACATGAAAACTAGTTGTGATACATGTGTACAAATCGGGAGATCACATTATATATTAAATTCATAAGCCTTAATTTTTCCCTTTGAAATATCCTTGTAACTTATTACTATTTTTTATTGTTTCATGCTACAGTTTTATATTAATATGCAGTGCTGTAATTTTTTCTCTGTTATTCCTTCCTGTGTCTATATTATTTATCATTTCACACAAATTCATGAAATTATAATTAGCAGTTTCTGAGAAATCCACGATTTCATACATGTAAAGGTACATTAGGACATAAGTATATACCTGTCGCCAATAAAAGTACAAGAAAACATTCCAAAGTCTAATTTTTAAAGAAAGAAATAAAAACTAAAACTTAATTCCTGCTTTTATTTTGATATTTTTAAACACTTGAATTGGGGAAAGGTATAATATATAAAATTTTATGTATATTAAATATTATAGAAAGATCTGCACGTCTTTTGAAAATGGAAGCCTGGATCACATCTGCAATTTGTCTTTATATAAATCAAATCCTATCCGTACTATCTCTGATTCTTCAGTGAAAGTATTCACTGTTTCTCTTATTTCATACCAGCATAATTTTTCTGTTGGATGGGAATTTTTTTATTTAATATTTATGACAAGGAATTCAAATTGCAATGGCAAAATTTGCAATTTTTGAATTCTATTTTTTTTAATTTGTGCTTATAAAAATAAATAAGGGAACTTAAGCTAATAATCAATGTTTTTTAGAAATTTGAATAAATATTAGTGTACCAGTTTTGATAAGCAGTATAATATATATATATATATATTCTTTTTTCAGTCTGTTAAAACATACAAAGGACATCGGAATGAAATCTTTTCCATTTTTGCCACTTTTGGTCTTACTGGTGGAAGAAAGGTGAGCCATATATTTTATTCATAAATAAGTAGTAGTTTAAGACACAATAACACGCCGAATAAATACTAATTCAGAAGTCAAACAACAAAAATCAGCGTTATACCTACAAAATTTTTCACAGGATTAGTTTCGATGGTTTTACCGAACCATCATCTTCAGCTGCAAAACCGCAAATGAACAAGATCTTGTTCATTTGCGGTTTTGCAGCTGAAGATGATGGTTCGGTAAAACCATCGAAACTAGTCCTGTGAAAATTTTGTAGGTATAACGCTGATTTTTGTTGTTTGACTTCTGAATAAGTAGTAGTTTGTTTAAGTCAGTGGTGGCCAAACTTCATGCTAGTAGAAGCTGCATGTTAAAATCTTATCATACCTATCAGCTTGAAACCCTTCTTAGAAAAACATTCCTCCCAGAAATACAAAGGAAGACTTACCAGAAGTAATACTGTATAGAAGCAGAACCTTCCTCTGATTGGTTTCTCTGTGTCTTCTCATAATGAAACAGCCTTAGTGCAGTTTTTTTCTCTATTTAAGATATTTTGGCTATGTTATGTAAAACGGATCACTAAATTCACTGTTGCCTGAAAGTTGAGGCATGGAACCAGCCATTCAAACTAATGCCAGGAAAAATGCATTTTTTGAAAAAGTTTCTTATTTTGTTTGTGTTGATAAATCTACTAAGGCCTTTAGAATTCAAATGTCAAATAGATGTTTATATAAACTGTACTATTATTAAATAACTAAAAAACTATTTGTATGTTCTAATAAACTGTACTATTATTAAATAACTAAGAAACTATTCGTATGTACTATGTTCCATATATTAAAGAAAAACAGCTGCACCTAGAACCACCAAATTTTGAATACACATTCTTCCACACAAGCATATGAACCTTGAAGCTCAAATTCTAATTTTCTAATTTTTTTAAAATTTATTTCAGATTTTGTGTGAATTTAAGGATTTTTTTCATTAAAAAAGCTGTATAAAAGTTTTGTTTTACCACTCGGTAAAGAGTAAAATATTTGTTTGAAATTTAATCAGAAAACTTAGGGATATAAAAGAAGTATGTTGCCTTTCAGTAAAATGCAAAATATTTGTCTTTCGAATTTAATCTTCAAACTCCACAATCTGAACAAAATGTGTTATCAGTGTCCAAATCAAAATATTTTTATCTTCGATGCAGTAGTGTTCAGCAAAGCATAAGATGGTATTTATTTATTTTCAAATTTATTCTGTTATGTATTCACAAACTAAACCCTTTAAAAGCAGATCTATCTTAATTATTATTAATTAATAGCTAGACCTGTGAAATTATATGAACTGAATTATATATATATGTAACTACTTTGGGCACCTGGCTGCGCAATGTAATTTATTTTAGACACTCATTCTTGATACAGTATGCTTTAAATGATGCATTATATTCTTGATCTATTTTCATTAATTTTTCAATTTCCTGTGTGTGCAACTGGCAATGTATAACAATTTAGTGTACTGCAAATTTGGTGTGAAATAAATTTCAGAAATTCAGTTCAAGTGAACATGGCCCTATCAAGGTGAGGGGTATAATTTGAAATACTTGTAAATGGCCCTCATAGGATCTTTTCAAACTTTGAAAAACTTGGAAGTGTGTTGGCATTGTGGGTGCATCCAGTTTGTTTGGCTTGTTTTACAATCAGAATTAAAATTTTATAGTGTCAGCATTAAAAATCATTCTTGATTCCACAGTGCTATTTATGCAATTAACTTGCAAATTCGTGTGTTTTACGATGCATAAGAATTAGCATGTAGAGCAGTTGTATATGTAAGTTACAGAAATGATCAAAATGAATTTAAAGTATGTTTTGTGACTGCTAAATCATGAGTTGCACCTGTGAAAAATTTAGTTCATCTAGATATGGGTTAATGGGATCTTTAACCACTTCACCATCCTACGAAACTTAAATATTTCTCCCCCCCCTCTTCCAAAGAAAAAACTTACACCTGAAACTGACCTTTCTTCTCTCTTTCACCAGCTGTCAAGACCTTAGAAAATTTCCTATTTACATTCCTACCCAGAAAAAAAATTTTTTTGCATTCCTTAGTCTCTTTTATGAAAATTAACAAAAATGGTCTCTAAAAGCATGTTGTTAATTGAGACGCAATTCCATTGCAATGGAAGCTGAAGGAGGTGGAAGTGCATTCCTATTTCTAGTCTTCGTAAGGAAACCCCTGATAAAACCCTGCTATGGAGAGAGCGTAGCCAATCAATCCATCATTCACCTCCTTTCGTCTTTGACTCATTGTGGATGGTTGAAAAATATATGTCTGGGATAATAAGTCCAGGCTACATATAACCCTGATGTGTGATGCCATTGCTAATAGCTGAAGACACATTTCAAGTCGGCAAGTCTCATAGCATGGCAAATGGCAAAATAATGAATTAGGATATTAAATATGTTAGGGAATTCAACTTTGTAATAAGTGGGTTTTATGGATTCATTCCTCTACATCAGGGGCTCCCAACGAGAGGTTCAAGATAATATTTTCATTTTTTGTTTAAAATAAATTAATTAATTGTTTAAAAATTACATGTATGACATTGATGCATGTGAAAAATGCATTTCCTGTACATGGGCCAATCAGAGATTTGCTGGACACATATTGTTATTTATGTAAATGTTGATTGTTGTAATGTTTTCACATTTCCATGTTTCATTATTTTTATTATTAAAATTTAATTATACAACTTTTCCTTTTTCTTCCATGTACAAAGTAAAAAGGAAAAATAGTAATCGCGAAAAATTTCGGGTATCGTATTTCAACGAAAATATCGATTTTAACTGCTATCCAATGCAATTTAATGATGTTTTTGCGTGTTATCTGCAAGCAAGGACAGAATAAAGTACTCTTTCCCCAAAAAATTATAAAACTGATTTAAAATGAGTTCTGAAGAGAATTTTTCATGGCATCTGTGTATACGTACGTATCTCGCATAACTCAAAAACGAGTAGCCTCAGAACGTTGAAATTTTGTATGTAGGCCTGCTATAAAATATAAATGTGCACCTCGTATTTTGGTTGCAATCGGCCACACCAAAAGTATATAAATATATATATATATATATATATATCCTCTGTTACTCGGCTCAGTGAGCTCATTATTTTTATATGTTTGTAAATTGTGCATCTTTTGCTTTAAAAATGATTGAAATGTGTTGTTCTTATCTTCCAGTTAAGATTTTTATGTCTTTAGTAAATCTGCATCCAATATTTGTGGAGTTATCAACAATTTAAAAGTTGTTTAAGTGCAGCTAAGCCTAATGAATTTTGCGATCGCGGACATGTTTGTTTACGTTTCAAACTTGGCAAAATTGCGACTTTGTTGCCAGTCTAGAAAAACTAAGCTTTGCAACAACAAAGATAACACCTTCTTTTATTATTGTGAATTAAATCATGCTTAATCCATTCTGGGGTTTATGAGGAAATAAGTCTTTCAAATTTACTTCGTAATTTTTAATATAGATATTTTGAGTTTTTATGTATTTTTACCTTTTCGAGAAGCTGTTTCTTTTTGGTTTTGTTTGCTTAATTTCTTTTATACATCGTTTTAGATTTATTATAGTATTTGAATAGAACATGTGGCAGCGATTAGATAATGCAAATTCTTCAAGTGATATAAATTTATATGCATTCTGGTTTATAATATGGACAAAATGTAACACTGTTAAGAGAACCTAGCTATGGTAAGTGTCGCTATGATAAAAAAATATAGTGAATTTTAAGGAGTGCATTTATTCTGTTGTGGTTTATGCGCTATCTACGAAGTAGATTTAATTCAATCTAATAAGTTTAAATGAAATGCAAGAAAAAATGCGTATAATTTAATATTCCGTACAAGGAAGTCATGTGGTGTACACATCAGATTTTTTTCTTTCTCTATTGAAAAGCCGTTTTAACTAACCGTTTTAACTGTCGCGGCGCGCGATGAAGTGGAAGTTGATCTGTCAGCACTATCGTTATCTTCAGGGCAGATGTTTTTATTTTATTTGGCTTATAATTCCTTACTAAATGTAGTATTTAATCTCGATGTACTCCGTCTTTGATGTGATTTAAATCAAATTCCTCGTCATTATAAATATCACGAATACAAATCAAATAGTTTTCTGGTTGCAATTTTCTAATTTTGGCTATGCGTCAGGTATGCTTTACACATGCGCGCGTTAAAAGAAATGTTTAATAAAGTAAAGTAAACAAATATTAAGCTTCTTTTTTTTTTTTGTAAATTTTGATACCCTTTAGATCATAATTGCTCATTATTTTATAAATTACGGTTTCATATTTTTAAATTTTATAATTTCTGCATGCCATCTTACCAGATTTAAACTGATGATCTATAATCCGGAATCGCCGAAGTCCCGACGAGTCTGGATTAACGACTTTTGACTGTATGTGATTTCAATTATATTGCAATTGTAATTAATTTTGCAATTACTTTGCAATTACAATTAGAAAGTAAGTACTTTTTAAATGCAACAATAATGTATGTAATTGCATTTTAATTCTTAAGTCGTACAATTACAATGCAATGATAATCACAAACATTATAATTATATAATCTAATTACAATTACAAATTTTATTGCATCTAATCACAACTACAGTAATATTAGCTAATTACAACGTAATTTTAACTGCAATTGCAGTAAGTAATTATAACTACGTAATTAGGAAAGTAATTGTCTCTGATAATTAGAATTACTTAACCATAGTGAAATCAATGATCATAATTGTAATTCTAAGTGTGTATGTTGCAATTGTAATAAAATTATGCAATTAATAAGTAGTTATAGTTAAAAAGTAGCTGTTTTTTTAATTAAAATTACAATTTACGTAATTTCATTTAAATTACAATTACTCTATATTTGTGAAATCCAATTTCATATTCAATGCAACTGTTGTCATATAATCTAATTACAATTACACTGTCATTGTAACTCCAGTAAGTAATTATAATAATCTA